GAGTTTTTGATAAACTTCGTATTATTGATTATGAACTAAGTTGTATAAACAAAGGAAAGCTACCATGGATAAAATCTAAGACAAATCTTTCTAATTCTTGCTTACACCAAAATAAGAGCAAGAAAGGTGAGGGTAAGTATTCCACAAATTCGGATACTGACATTTATGATACAAGCACTTCTTATTTCTCCAATTCAGGTCCAGAAGGTGTATGTAAGGTCACAGTTGTAAAAAAGCGAAAATGCCACAAGAAATAAATTAATTATCTGATAAGTTTATTAATCGACATATAAAGCGTGACTTAGATTAACTATTTTTATGTATTACGTTCCCATTACCCGTGATCGAAGCATGTGTTTGAAATAATGTGGATGCAGAAGAATAAGCACTTTACAGATTAGATCCACATGTTTTTGTGCGACCCAATTTCTCACATATACCCTTATTTGCCTTTTTTTATTAATTTTCATGACTTAAAGAGTCACTCATTGGAGCTGTTTTTCGTTGATCATAAATTTCACTAAGAATAAACTAATTTACCTATCTTTGCACCATTTTGGATATAATACCAATTCAAGTTGAGTTGTAATAATGGAGTTAGTGTCTAAGACACATAATTTCGAGATATATAAGTGGATATATAGCTAATATGAGGTGAGAAAAAATGGATATTTTCAGAAACTTATATAAGTTATGTCTACTAATATTTCATGCCTTGAAACTTTTGCCTTAAATATTCTTAAGGATTCATCCCCGGAAAAAATTGCAAGTAATATTAATATTCCCGAACTAGACCCGTGCTCGTTATGCAATCAAGAACTTTTTTTGTTTGAAATAAAAAACCCAAATACCATACTGGTCTGTGGCCATATATATAATTGTGATTGTATTGAAACTTTTATCAAGAAACGTTCAATGTGCTCAAAGCCCGATTGCAAGAAGGAGGTAGAATCTACAGTTGTCAGCATACCTGGAAGTCAGAATATTAATGATTTGATGGATATATCCCTGTTATTATTTACTGACCTCCTCTTCTCAAGTCCGTCTAAAAAGTGTGTTAGTGAATTTATCAGCAAATCATCTAGCAAGAAAGTGAAGAAGCAAGTATCAAAGGAAGATTCTCCTACGTTGTTACAGAATGAAAATATAATGATAAAATAATATTAAAAATACCTGCAATAATAACCCTTAAAATAATATT